TTATTTTGCTGGCGAAATACGCCAGGGCGGTCGAGCTAGCGTTTCGCGAAGGCGAGAAATGCCCGTCTATACGTATTAAAACTGTTTCGCCCAACCATCAATCGATACGTATTGAAAGCTTTTCGCCGGACCGCTTCTTTCCAGAGAAACACTAGACCGCAGACTGTGAACAATGCCTTAGTTTCTCATTGCGCCGAGCGTAGTAAAAGAGGCGCAGCGTTCGCATCGGGACCAAATGATTCGCCGTGGCATTGCTGTATTGTTGCAAGTCAACTAGTGAGGGATGCTGCTGGTTGCACATGTCACCGCAAGATCAAGCTACCAATATTGATCCAATTGTTCTGTGTGCGCATAATCATGGCATTCGAACATATCATACTGCGAAAATCTCTTGTCTATTTGTAAAAGAAGGGAACTTTATCTCTGCGCTGTTGTTCAGTGCTGTTCTTTTAGACGTTTTTCTAGAAAACGATCCCCTTTTCTAGCAGTTGACATTGTGCCTAAGTTTCTGGAAATGTCTACTCCCAGTCGGGTCTAACTTGGAGACGCAGTACTCAAGGATGATGGAGTGCTTGCTAAGCCTGTTCATACTTTGCGACAAGACAAGAAAAGAGCCGTGGATTTGACGTTTTGCGAGAATGAGCGCCGGAGGAGTGCATGGGTACTGAGGGGGCTCCGGTTTCTAATTATTTGGGAGAATGATAGCATGAGATCGACTCTTTGGAAGGACGCGTTTTCTCCCGAAACGTCGAATTGTCCATTCTTTTCTCCCATATCGTCGAATCGATGCCTATAGCGTGCACTGGAGTACAATCCAGTAGAACGTCAAGTCGCCGTTCTCCTATTCTCATATTCCGCTGTCGCCAAGTGTGAAGGCAACCTCTCGTTGTTCGGGATTCTGAGCGCGAAACTCTCAGGCGCGCTCATGCTGGAGTTTCCATTACACGACTACTGATAGCAGTGTTCATTGCACCTCATTTTCGTCTTTTCTAGAATCCATCCATGTGAAAGTGTGTATGGGAAAATCAAAGAGAAGAGTGCTTTCAGCTATGGGATATCGGTGGTCAACCTCGATTCCGATCGATGTGGGAGCGGTACTGTCGTGGAGTAAACGCAATTGTGTTTATGGTTGACGCTGCGGACGAGGACAAGTTGGAGGTAATTATTTTTTTGATTTTAATTTTGTTCTCTTGCGTTGTGCTGTTGATTATTGCTTCCCGAGTCTTTGATTAGTGTTATGACTGTTTTCGAAAGAGCTCGTACTGCTACTATTTCAACCCGCAGTCACTCAACATCGAAACTCTGTAGAAAGAGG